GTCCGTCGTGTTTCCTAACAGGTAGTTTGGCTCCGTGTCCCGCTGCTTTGGGTTGGTGCTTGTCAGAACAGAAATCAGCGTCTTGGAGCTGCGCCTACGTGTGTGTGGAACGGTGTGGTGATGTTTCTGGCCCCAAATCAGGTTCTCCTCTTCGGTGGTGACGTGATCATGAAGCGCGTTTTGCCTCTGCGGGACTCGTTCGCGGCTGGGAGGGTGGCCGGTGACGCGGAGCTGTGATCCGTCTCCAAAAGTGAAGCTGTTGAGCTTCTCTTTTCGGGAGGACGCTCCTGTGGTTTCATGTTCTGCACGTCAGCTGCTGAGTTGACTCGTGTGGTTACAGCTCTTGGGTGGCCAGCTCTGCGTTGAGCTGTTGCTGGGTTTCCATGGATGAAAAGACACCAACTCCCGTGGCTCACGGAAAGGGCAGGGAGAATAAGATGTGCATTTGTGCCGTGGCATTGATGATCCAGCATTCCAGAAGTCACCTGGCTTTGGGGCTGAGTCTTGCTTGGTTTAAGGATGTCAGCAAACCCGTTGGTGTCTGGAGAGGCGTGAAGGCTGCACCTCCAGACGCTGTGGTGGAAGTTTTTCTGCAGTGCGTGAAGGTATGGTTGGAGATCTCGGTCATACTCGCGCTGTGGTTGCTCTCCTCTGCTCTCTGAAACCAGAGGTGGTGGATATAGCACAGGGCCAGATCCAGCTGTGATGGTCATGTAGAGGCAACAAGGCTTTTCTTGGAAAAAATTTCCCACCTGGGAAATACTGTGTTCAGCTCTGGAGTCCCTAGCACAAGAAGGACATGGAGCTGCTGGAGTGGGTCCAGAGGAGGCCACGGAGATGCTCCGAGGGCTGGAGCATCTGAAACCAGAGGTGGTGGATATAGCACAGGGCCAGATCCAGCTGTGATGGTCATGTAGAGGCAACAAGGCTTTTCTTGGAAAAAATTTCCCACCTGGGAAATACTGTGTTCAGCTCTGGAGTCCCTAGCACAAGAAGGACATGGAGCTGCTGGAGTGGGTCCAGAGGAGGCCACGGAGATGCTCCGAGGGCTGGAGCACCTCTGCTATGGAGGCAGGCTGGGAGAGTTGAGGCTGTTCAGTGCCTTGCTGTGCTGGTGGGAGCACGGACACTGGTGCCTTAGTGAGTTAAAATTGCTTCCTCACTGTAATTATGAAATGGCTTCTAAAGTTTTCTTGCTTTCTGCAGTGGAGAGGAATGACATGCTGGTAGATGAGCAGTTATTTGGACTGGGGAATGACACTGGGATCCATTCACTCGAAGCTCTTGAAGGACTCCTAGGCTGCCTTTCTTAGGCAGTGGAACAGGTTGCCCAGAGAAGCTGTGGCTGCCCCATCCCTGGAAGTGTTCCAGTCCAGATTGGATGAGGCTTTGGGCAACCTGGTGTAGTGGAGGGTGTCCCTGCCCATGGCAGGGGGGTTGGAACTGGATGATCTTTGAGGTCCCTTCCAACCCAAACCACTCTGTGATTCTGTGATTCTTCCTTGGGTGATGGTGACGTGTGGGATGGGGAGCACAGGAACTGTCTGCTGCTTGTTCTGGCGTGAATTTAGGCCTCAGACCTCATGAACTGCTTGATGGGGACCTTTCTCTAGTGTGACATGTCCAGTACGAGTCATCAACTAAACCTTCATGACGTCGCAGAGGAGGTCACGGCGCTGAAGCTGCTGCTGTGGGAAGGCTCCTTGCACCCATCAAAGCTCCCTTGGCTTGGGAAACATCTTGTTTTATAAGCTGCCTGTGGATAAAGTGTGTCCAACCAAATGAAGCTTCACATAGGTTAAGAATATCCAAAATGGATCAAAATCTTCTGCCCCCCCCAGGAGCCTGACTGGCAGCTGCCAAAAGTCTGTGTCTTTCGGGAATGTGTTCTGAATCCTAGATCCTGGATTGAAGGTAGTGTTTCCATACGGAAAAGATTTTTCTGCATAAGGCTGAAAATATGTAGATAGAGCAGAAACACCGTTGTGCTGCTGGCTTTGAACAAAGTAAAGTTGGCAAATAAAGGGGTTCAGAGAAAGTAGGGGAGGGAAAAAAATAAGGAATATAGATCTGGAAGTGACTTTGGGAGAACACGTAGCTCATTCCTCTGTCCAAAAATGGATCAAATTATCGAACAGTTCCTGATAGAGGTTAGCCAAGCGTAGCACAGGCAGAACCCTGGTTTATGGGAGTTGAGAGTTGTCTGTGTTGAAGTGACTGATGTTATTTTCCACCTTGGGATCTTTCCAGTCTCAGCTCAGAGATGTGGAAACTGGTATCTGCTTTGAGAGAACCGGGTGACCATGCCTTGTGGCTCTCTTGCTTTGCAAACCGCGGTACCTGCTGGAAAAACGTGTCTCCGTTTGGTCCTTAAAGTGACTAAAAAGCAAAAGGAAACGTCCTGCCTGCCTTTTCCTGTGCGGATATGTGTGTTTGCACGTGTGACATACTCTTCCTCACTTCACGAATGCCACGGATCTTATTCCCCGTGCCTTGCTGTGCTGGTGGGAGCACGGACACTGGTGCCTTAGTGAGTTAAAATTGCTTCCTCACTGTAATTATGAAATGGCTTCTAAAGTTTTCTTGCTTTCTGCAGTGGAGAGGAATGACATGCTGGTAGATGAGCAGTTATTTGGACTGGGGAATGACACTGGGATCCATTCACTCGAAGCTCTTGAAGGACTCCTAGGCTGCCTTTCTTAGGCAGTGGAACAGGTTGCCCAGAGAAGCTGTGGCTGCCCCATCCCTGGAAGTGTTCCAGTCCAGATTGGATGAGGCTTTGGGCAACCTGGTGTAGTGGAGGGTGTCCCTGCCCATGGCAGGGGGGTTGGAACTGGGTGATCTTTGAGGTCCCTTCCCACCCAAACCATTCTATGAGTCTATGATTCTAATTCTGAGAGTCCCAGAAGAGTCCTGAAAAGAGAGAAAATGAGAATTCCAGCTTCCTGGTCAACCCTAATCTATATCCTGGACATGAGGTTGCATGATACAGAATATTCCATTGGCCAATTGGGCCCTAAGCTAAGACTTGTGGGCCCTTTGTCCCGGCCATGGTCCCCCCAGCCTGTTGTGCTCCTGCACACTGGCCAGAACATGGGAAACTGGAAGGTCCTTGATGTCT